ATACGACAGAGTCATAAGTGGAACAGCAGAGGTGATGACCAACTGACCACCTGACAATGGACAAGGCCAATGCCCCAGGAGAGAAGGTAATCCTCAAAGAGCCAACAGCTGAAGGGAAAATAAGAGACTGAGCCAACAGTACTAACCCCAAGAAAAGCTCGTGGCTATTGTAAACTACAAAAACAGCATAGGGTTTTACACCAGAAGGTACTCCTTTGTGGCAAGCTGGAATTGGAGAATAAATCCAAAACAGTTCCCAGCATTCTGAAGAGAATTAATGAAGAACAATTTTGGGAAAAAGTTACTTACAATGATCCACAGAAAGACTACAGAACAATTTCACTTTAAGGTCTCCAGTGTTACCCTACTACAGTGACTACATGAGTGACAGAACAAAAAGACATGGGGACAGGCCCAGCTAGATATAGACATTCCCCACCCACCCAGGAAGAACATGGGGCCCAGAGCTCCAAGGTAAGAAGCCATGCCTGGCAAGTGTCTAAAAGTGCTAGCATTAAGTGTAGTAGTCTGCTTGAATCCCCACCATGCTGTACAAATCCAACAGACACCAGTAGTTTGATTGCTTTCTTCATCTACAAATGAGACCAAGGATACTCCCTGCCTTGGACAGTAGCCACAGTCAGGATATATGGACGGGGGCCTCTAGAGCAGGAGGAGGCACCTCACAAATCCACAGGCATAAAGACAGGAGGAGAAAATTGTGACCTGCTGGATTCCAAGACTGAAAATCCTGAGGGGGTGAAGGGAGGGCAGGGACAAGGGGAAAAACTGAGAAGTAAGACCTGTCATGTAAAGGTACAAGATCCCAATAATGAATGTAACTGTACTGTATACCTAAAATGTACCAATAAACACAACGAGGGGAAAAAAAAGACTGAAAATCCCGGAAAGAAATTTATTCAAAATTACAGAGAAGTTTTTTTTCTTGCACTTGACCTGCTCACAATTACAAAGAATTTTTATTTAACATACATTGCCATCTTTATAAATATTACATCCATCTTTATAATATTACATGGTAAAAATAAAACTACATTGAATATTTGTTTTAATTACATAAACTGAAAATTTTAGGTCTAATTTATAAATCTATTTTGCATTTAGGTTTATTACCCTATATAAAACAATTGTAGACTTTCCATTCTTAACCATCTAATCTTTCACACAACTACCTCCCTACTTTATTTTTCTGTTGGCTGCAGTAAATCATTAAACAAAATTTTCAGAGAAGGCACAGTAGTACCTCAGTTCATGAAGACTTTTGTTTACAAACAATTTTGTTTGAAAACAACAGTATTTGGCAAAATTTGTTTTTGTTTACAAACTATATCAGGTGACAAACATGACCAGAGCCATCCATACAGACAAAAAAGTGGCCATCTTTGCCAAAATCATGAAACAAATTATGTTCATAAACCAAAGTACCACTGTAATTTAAACATTAGCCAGAGCAACAATGCAAGAAAAAAAAAATAAAAGGGATATGTACAGAAAAGGAAGAAGTCAAATTATCATTAACTGTAGATGACATGATCCTCAACACAGAAGACCCAAAAAATTCCAGCCAAAGACCTCTATAATTAATAATCAGATACAGCAAAATCAACACACAAAAATTCAACAGTGTTCCTGTACACCAAAAATGAACTCAATGAGAAAGGAATTAAGAAAAAAATACTATTTACAATAACATTAAGAAAAACTAAATGTTTAAGAATTAACCTAACCCAATAAGCGAAAGACCTCTGCAACATTAACTGTAGTACTCTGAAACAAGGAGATTGTAGAGAACACCAGAAAATTGAACTATATCCCATTCCCAGAGAGGCAAAACCAGTATGTATAATAAAAATAAAAATAGCCACAGTTTCTAAAACTAATATACAGATTTATGGCAATCTCAATCAAAATACTAACAGCATTCCTCATAAAGTAGAGAAAACAATTCTAAAATTCATATGGGAAATAGCAAAAGCAATCCTGGGCAAGAAAAGCAAGGAAGGAGGCATCACAATCCTAGGCTTTAAGGTATGACAAAACTACTGTGATAAAAGCATGATGGTGCTGGCACAAAAACAAACATGTTGATTAACAGAACAGAAGACAGGATGTAAAAACAACCCCAGGCACATTCAGCAATATGAACTTTGACAAAGGAGGTAAAAATAAAACACTGGAGAAAAGATACCCTGTTTAATGAATGGTGTTGGGAAAACTAGCTATCCACATGCAGAAGATTGAAGCTAGACCCATATCCCTTACCATGTATTAAATTAAAATCAAAATGCATCAAAGATCTAAATGTTAAAGCAGAAAAAAAAAAAAAAACCCTTGAAGACAAAGGCATAAGCAAGGAGTTTCTGAACAGAATCCCAATTCTAAACGAAGTAACATCAAAAGTGAAGAAATGGAGGGATTTAGCTCAGTGGTTCTGCCACCTGCCTTGCAAGTTCAAGGACCTGAGTTCAATCCCTGGAACCAAAAAAAAAAAAAAGAACAATGGAGTGCTGGGGATTTAAGTGGTTCCACTGCCTGATTTGTAAGCGCAAGGTCCTGAGTTCAATTCCTGGTACAAGAAAAAAAAAGCAACAAATGGGATCATAAAACATTAGAAAGCTTCTGCATAACAAAAGAAGCAATCAACAGAGTAAAAAGACAACCTACAGAAAGGGAAATTTTTTGTGCCAGTTATTCCTTGGAAAAGGGACAAAATATAGACTACATAAAGTGCTCCAAAAAATTAAACACCTCTAAAGGACTCAAAAAAGTCAAGAAATCAAATAAATACATACTTCTCAGAAAAAGTACAATTGGTCAATAAATACAGGAAAAAACATTTAACATTGCTGGCCATTAGAGAAACGCAAGTTAAAATGGTGAGATCACACCTCATTCCAGAAAGAATAGCTATCATCAAGAAATCAAATAATAAATGCTGCCAAGACTGTTGGTAAAAAGGAACCCTTTCACATTGTAGGTGTGAAAGTAAACTAGTACAACAGTTATGGGAATCAGCATGGAGGTTTAAGATATGTTCCCAAAAGATTTAAAGATACTGTATTCTATTGATATGTTCATACCCATAATTATAGCAACAAAATTCATAATAGCTAAATCTTGAAAGTACCCTATACATCCTTCAACAGATGAGTAAATAAAGAAAATGTGGCATTTCTACACAATGGGAGTACTAAGCCATAAAGAAGGGTAAATTTGAGTTATCTGTAGAAAACTGGATGCATCTTGAGACCATAATGTTAAGTCAAGTAACTCAGACACATAAGTTAAAATACTGCATCATTTTTCTTAGATGAGTAATACAAAATATAAATTAAGAGCAAAATAAAACAGATAAAAGGAAAGAGAGCAATAGATCTTTTGCAAAAGGGAAAGAGATGAAGAAGAGAAGGTGGGGAAATGCAATACAAAATTAAGATGTGTTACGTACATGAACCTAACCCCTCACAAAGAACATAATCATTTTGTACTGTAAACATGTACTAATAAAAACTAAAAGTAAATAATAAACTGAAAAAGATACTCTTAAAAAATAAAAAATCCAAGATGCAAGCACAAGGTCCTCAGTTCAACCTCCGGTACCAAAAATAATTAAATAAATAAATAAATAAATAAAAATCCAGAAGATTTTAAATTTCAATTAAAATTAACAAATTTTATTAAAAAATAAATTAATTAACAAATTTTTCTTTATGTAGGTCTATCAATATACAATAAAAATTCTTATGGATATTGTATATTGATAAAAATATACTCACAGTTATACACAAAATTTCAAAAGTAAATAAATGGTTATTGAACTTTTTTATTTTTTTTGTTTTTTTGAGATAGGGTCTCAGAATGCAGTTTAGAACAATCCTGAACTCACTATGTACCAGGCTGTCCTTGAATTTATGGTAATCTTCCTATTTCAGTCTCCTGAGTACTGGTGTGCACCACCACACCCAGCTGTTCTAGTCTCCACATACAGAACTAGCTGGACAAAAAATTAAAAGTTTTTCAAAAATCCAATACCTTTCTCTTCTGTAAGCCAGCAATCAACTCAGGCAATTCATCATTCCTTAAGTATATCCCAAGTTCATTCTCTTAGAATATGAACAAATTAACCCTATAAACAATTGTGTAAGTGGTACATATTGAATCATTTATTCATAACTCTGCTACAGAGAAATTAAATAACCATTATGTTTCTCAAGGCTACTATATCAGTCCATTTATGCTGCTACAACAAGAGACCATAAATTAATTAATTTACAAAGAACAGAAATTTATTTTCTTATAGTTCTGGAAGCTAGGAAGTCTAAAATCAAAAGGCATCAGTTTCTGGTCAGGGTCTTTTTACAGCATCCACACAAGGCAGAAGGCAGAAGGGTAAAAAGAAATAAACTCCCTCTCTCAAACTCTTATAAAATTAATTTCATTTATAAAAGAGAATCCTTCAATAACCTAATCACCTTTTAGAGACCCCATCTCCTAATACCATCACATTGGCATTGAATTTTCACATTCAAACCATAGTAGCTATCAAATCCAAGATCAAAACTCAGGTATCTATCTCTCACTTCAAGAAATTCAGTTAAAAGATTTCAGGGCCCGATCAATCCATTTTTAATAGGTTAGCCAATCAGAAAAAAAAAAAGAAAAAGACCAAGAAATATTTCAAAATATTCTACCCTAGGACCAGAGAGAA